AGGTTGGATAACCCTTTAAAGGAATTATTCATCGTTTATTTAAAAGATTGTGCTTTATTTTCTCTAATAAGTTCTGATCATTGCAATGCGACCTCGCAAACGGATTTTTGAACGTACGCTCACGCATAACTGAAAAATAAGTGTGATCTGAGAGCAGTATCTTGACCCAAGGACAGACAGAATCAAAATGTGGAAGATGATCATTGATGATGACATTGTGTCAAGTAGAACGTCTCAAAATTGTATTTTTTTTCTTCAAATTTGAGGTTATCCTTCGTTAGGGTGACACCTTTTCCAACAAATGCCGAGTTTTTGTTTGCTGGTGTCCCTCCATTTTGAAAGACTCTCCACCACTCCTCAGTGCTAGGCCCTGTTTCATAAAACTTGCTATCTATATCAAATGCTAAATTTCTATGACAAATTTGCTCTCAGCTAATCAAATGCCATGATTTCAGTAGATTATAACAGTTATTGTCACTTGCAGTGGCGTACGCAGGATTTTGTTAAAGGGGGGGGGGGGGGGGGGGGGGGGGGGGGGGGGGGGGGGGGGGGGGGGGGGGGGGGGGGGGGGGGGGGGGGGGGGGGGGGAAGAGGACATATTATTTTATTTTTTTTGGTCCCCAAAAAAATCGCAACGACTCAGCCAGCCGCTGAATAAGCAGGGGGGGGGGGGGCGTGCGGGGGGTAAGAGGACATTTTTTTTTTTTTTTTGGTCACGAAATTTGAAAATTTGACCGATTGACATTTCGTTCCGTGGGGGGGGGGGGGTTAGGTCATCTTCTTTACGTCATCTATTAGGATTGTTTTGATTTATTTATTATTATTTTTTATTTAATAAAAAAAAAGGGGGGGTTTCTCGAAAAACATACACATTAAAAAAATTCAAGGGGGGTTTAACCCCCCCCCCCCCCCCTGCGTACGCGCCTGGTCACTTGTTAATGATAACAAGTTTTATGAAACAGACCCTGGTCCTGAAATGGTTCGGTTCCTTTCCATTTAAAGTACAACATTCCAGGTCCAGTCTAAAGTGGATCCTAGCAATGCAGCTTATCTGTCTGGAGATCTATCTATGCACACAGACCTTACCTACTACAACAATCACCTGGGGTAAGTCAGGTCTTTCAAGGCGAAGGCGATGGTGATCTTTAAAATGTTGACATATCAAGCCATATATATATATATATATATATTGGCCTACTGCACCTGCTTGATAAAACAAGACAATGTTTATAACAATTCATTTCCATTTACTTTTCATATCTACCTTTAATTTAAATGAACATTGTACATGCGGATTTGGGGGACACGTCCCAATCGTGCCCCCCCCCATGAACCCCAATAAATGACATAACTTAAAGGGATAGTTGAGTTCTGTTTTCAGCCCGCAAATATCTTCAAAGTGCATGGTTATTGCTCTGTTCTTATTCTTATCTATGACATTTCTAGTTTCCTTTAAGAACCTAAAATTGCTATGAAGGTAATTTTAGACCCCAAAATGTGTGAAATTTAGCCAATACGATCATTGAGTCAAAGAACATACGGAGTATACCACGGAATATTTCTGCTCCCGCTTTTCACCCGTTATTTGCCTAATATTACATTTATTTGGACACGAGGTGATATTCCTTGTTGAGAAATTGGTAAGAGAATTGTTTTGTGAAATAATCTGAGCAACATGGTGAGAACAAGAAAAAAGAACTTGAGCATAATAGGAAAGAAAAATCTGGCGAAAGTGACAGAAACATTTACGGAAGCCTGGCAACTGGAGACGCGGTAGAAGCCGGCATAGTAAATGGACAAACCACTCTCCAAAAGTCAGCTGCTCGCCCAAGCATGAGCTCGATGAGCAGCGAAGAGCAGGACAATACCTCGAACGCGGCGATTAAGCCTAATTCTCAGCCAGCCATCCAACTCCAAGAGGAGATTAAAGACGTAATCTGCTCTAAGCCGATCCTCGATCGTCTTGTTGCGCTGATAGCCGACGCCATCATGGAGAAAGTATCTCAAGACGTATACGCCGCCATCAACCACGACCTCGAAGTCAAGAACAAGGAGGTGCGATCGCTGGAAAACAAAATCCAGAAGTTGGAGAGGCAGTTCGTCGCCATGGAGAACGCCCAGGAGGAGCAGGCCCAGTACTCTCGCAGAAACTGCCTGCTGATATACGGAGTGGCAGAGCAGAACGGGGAAGTTACCGACGAAGTCGCGATGCAGCTCCTCAATTCCAAGCTGGAAGTCGATGTGAAGGCCACAGACATCGATCGAAGTCATCGTCTCTTCACGAAGAAACGTACGACGGACGACGAAGCCCGACCACAGCCAAGACCCCTCATCATCAAGTTTGCAAGATATAATGTCCGTCAACGCGTCTATGCCGCGAAAACAAAGCTGAAAAAAACACAGATCTTCATCCGCGAACACCTGACAGCCGCTCGCCAACGAATCATGAGAGAGACACTCAAATGCCCATCGATTGCGAAGGCATGGACGATTGATGGGAAAATTCGTGCACTGACCAAAGACAACGCGGTCGTGTCCGTCAGAACCCTGAACGATCTTGACAGACTGTGAGGTACGCACTTTTGACAAAACTTATGTTTTTTGTTTTACTTTAAATGATTAAATACCCATGTATCTCTTGTAAAAAAGTTGTAAAGCATAACCATAATGCTATCATGTGTATATGTTGTAAACAATGGGCACATTTAACATGTTCTTCTGCTTCACGAGAATTGTTCTTATCTCAGAAGGATTGGATGTGCACACCGTGCATGTTTAAAGAGTTACCAAACAACCCCGATTGCTTAAGTTTTGTAGTAACAGACCACGAGACCCCTCCCACTGACGAGCTAAATATAGATTATCCTCATTTAGCTGTACAAGAAGAACAGTTGAACACAACTTACAAGAACTTTGATGCAATGCAGAACTTGATGAAATTCCAGAATGGATTACACTTGATTCATTTAAATGTTTGTTCGCTCTATAAATGTATTGATGAGATCAGAAGCAAATTTGTGAACGCCAATTTTGATATTCTGACATTCAGTGAAACCATGCTTGACTCCTCCATTCCAGATGCTTGTATTAATATTGACGGATTTTCAATGATACGCAAAGATAGAAATAGACACGGTGGAGGAGTTATATCATACGTGAAGAATTGTATAATATATAAAGTGAGAAATGATTTAAGCTGTGATGACTTAGAAATGATCATACTACAGGTTGATCCACTAAAGCAAAAACCTTTTCTTGTTTGTATATGGTATAGACCACCTAATTCTTCGTTGGAGGTTTTTGATAAGTTAGAAAAATTGCTACAAGACATTGAATTAACTGGCCTCGAAGTTTTGTTGATGGGTGACTTAAATTGTGATATCATGAACTCTCACCCAAGCTGCAATACTAATCGGCTTTTGACTTTGCTTGAAAATTACCACTTAAAGCAACTAATCTCTAAACCGACTAGAATTACTCGTAACTCTAGTAGTACAATAGACTTAATCATTACCTCCAGCGAAGAAAAGGTCAGCTTTAATGATGTAGTTCAGATTGGCTTGAGTGATCACTACATGATCGTAGCCTCGTGGGGCAACATCAGAACTAGGGTTAATGAACATAAGTATATCACCTTTCGTGATGTTAACAAAATGAATGTTGATAATTTTCAAGGAGAATTGTTAAATGAATCATGGAATGATGTACACAATATAAACGATGTGGATGAATCTTATTGTACATTTGCAACAACGTTTAAAAGGATTGTTGATAAGCATGCCCCAATGAAGACGAAGAGGGTCAAACAAAATAATGTCCCATGGATAACAAAAGAAATAAAGGACATGATGAAAGAAAGAGATAAACAGAAGAGGAAAGCTAAGCGCATTGGCAATGTTGATGAATGGGAAAGTTATAAGAAGTTAAGAAATAGTGTTACTACATTATTGCGAAATTCAAAAAAGGTGTACTTACAAGATAAAATAAAGGAAAATGCAGGTAATAGTGCAGCGATTTGGAAAGCACTTAGATGTATGATCCCTAATAAACGGAGTAACTCTCGTATTCCTGGTATTAAATTTAATGATGAAACGATTAATAACGATCATGAAATGGCTAACATTTTTAATGATTTTTTTGTCAGTATTGCACGAACATTACATGATGGTTGTAATTCAGATGGTGACTTTACTTCCTTTTTAAAAAGGGCAGATACAACATTTGAATTTAAGGCTGTTTTGATCGAAGATGTAAAAAGAGTGCTGACAAATATTCCTGAAAATAAGGCCACTGGTTTGGATGACTTACCGGCTAAAATGATTAAAATGGCAATGTCCTACATTGTCTCACCATTGACACACTTGATAAATTTGTCTCTAACCAGTGGCGTAATCCCGAAGGAATGGAAAACTGCAGTAGTAATCCCCATATTCAAAAGTGGGGATGTTTTTGAATTGTCAAACTACCGACCGATCTCGATCCTCCCGATCCTATCTAAAGTTATTGAAAGGATTGTGCATGAACAGGTCACTGAATATCTTACACAAAATTCGTTGTTGTACAGTCACCAATCTGGATTTCGCCAAAACTATTCATCCGCAACAGCCCTCTTGAACCTTACTGAAGATCTATTATCTAATATGGATAACGGTCTGGTAACCGCATTTGTAGCGTTGGATTTAAAGAAAGCGTTTGATACTGTAGATCACAATCTGCTCGTAAAGAAACTCGAATGGTACGGATTTGATCAAATAGTGCATCTTGGTTCAAAAACTATTTGAGTGAGCGCACACAAGTCACCAAAGTAAATGGTATTACATCATCTGTTGGGAAAGTAGAGTGCGGAGTCCCACAAGGATCAATATTGGGGCCGATGTTATTCCTAATATTCATAAATGACATTGCAAATGTGGTGAAGCATTCATCAATATCATTATTTGCAGATGATACGTGTATATATTATTCCTCCAATAGTGCCAATGATGTATCAAACAAGGTTAATGATGATTTAAATACTGTAACTTTATGGCTGAATGCTAACAGGCTGATACTTAATATGAGCAAAACTGAATATATGCTTATTGGATCCCATAAACGAGTAAAGCAGTTTCATAATGTAAATATTAATATACACATCGATAACAATGCACTGAAAGAAGTTTATAGTTGTAAATATCTTGGCGTAATTCTTGATCCTAGTTTGAATTGGAAACTGCACATAGACCATGTACGCAAAAAAGTTGTCCGAGGCTTATTTCTCTTTCGTAAAGTCAGACCTATTGTTGACTTGTGTACTGCTAGAATGCTATACTTTAGTATTATTCAAACACACTTTGATTACTGCTCTATAATTTGGAATAATGCTACTCAAGTCGTATTAAATAAGCTACGTGTTCTACAGAATAGAGCTGTACGGATTATGGTTAAGGCACCTTTTGAGCAAAGAACTCGAGAAATCTACCAACAAGCAAAGATAATCCCAATCGTTGATAGATGGACAAGAGGAAATTTAATCATGCTATTCAAGATAATGCACGACTTAACTCCAACGTACTTATCTTCACGAGTTGAATTACGACATAATCCACACAATTTAAGAAATAGCGATCATAAAATTCAGCTTCCAAAGCCTAAGACCGAGTTTTTGAGAAGAAGTTTCTTTTATCATAGCTCCAAATTATTCAATTGCCTCTCTTTTGAAACGCGAACCTTAGACACACTGGCTACCTTTGTTCGCACCATTGATTTGAATGAACTCATGTAGACTGAACATTATCTTGCCCTTTTTTACAATTTTTACAATTTTTACCTTCAATTTGATATTCTATTGGTTATGTTTTAAATAGATATATATATATATTTATTTTTTTTTGATTAAATATTTTTTTATAGTTTTTTTATTGTTGTTTTTTTTAATAGTTTTTTAAACACGATAAATATTATACCCATCCTCTTATTCCTGTCTTGTGTTTTTTTTTAATTCTTATGTTTACCTTGATGTTTTTTGTGTTATGTTATCGGTTTTACAGTTTTACTCGTATGCTTGTTGTCGTCCTAGTTGAATATCTGCAATCAACTGTCTTATTGCTTGTTTGTTTTGTACTTTAATCTGTTAGATATTTATTTGTTTGACTATACATGTACATATTCATTGCCTTACTTCTTGCATTTGCAACGTTTTACATATTATTGTATAATTCACTGTATATTTATTGTTATTTTTATGTTTGTGGACCCCTTTGAAAATCAGCTGTGCTGAAAGGGCCATCCACCCTATGAGAGGAAATGAATAAATAAATAAATAAATAAATAAATACCAATACAGCTCCACTTTCAAAAAAAACACGGTGACCGTTAATTAATTATTTAATAAAAAATAACAATACACGGGCCGGCTGGTTGTGCGTAATATAAGCAACACGAAAATGCCAACAAAAAAAGCCAACATCGACATTGGCTGAAATGCGACGTAAAAGGCGTTATTTCGTTTTTTTCAACGGTTTTTTCAAATTGTTCAAATGTCTAATATTTGTGGGGGCACACAAGTATTAGAAATCGTTATATTTCAGTCGTCTCTGAAACGCTTTTGATCAAACAAAGATGATTTTGTCATTTAAATATTATGTTCTTTCAAATTTGACACTCAGTTTTTCATTATCTCACAAACAAATTATTTTGTGTAGCGCCCTCTGCAACAGAACTCAACTATCCCTTTAAATTATAAAAAAAAATCCAAGATTGCTGCCACTCCCGTCTCCCCCCCCCCCCCCCCCTTTTCCTTTTGAGATGGTGACTGTTTTTAGTTAGTCGGATTTTTTTCTGAATGCTGTGCCCACTCTTTTACAAAACCTTGGGTCCGCCCCTGTTGATACTTTCGCTAAGTCTACTCACCTACAGTATATCTGTACAAATATGATATATATAATATAAATATTTATGTATGATATTATCCATGATTTTGTATCTGAATAAAGATTTATTGCAACAACAAAAAACAAAGAAATCTGTATACCAAGCAAATAGAATTTGGCTGTCCATAAATTTCTTCTCACCCGAACTCCAGATTTAGATGCAAATAGAACTTGATCGTTGCTTGTCGAATGAATTCTTGTCTCCCGAACTCCCGATTCAGATGCATATAAAACTTGGTCATGTGGGTTATCGAACTAATTCTTCTCTCCTGAACTCCAGATTCAGATGCTACACTGTATAAAGCAAGCCGATCTTCAGGGCGGCGACAACACCCTCGTTGATGGGTTCAAGATCGCCGACGACCTCCGTAAGACTGCTCCGGACCTTTACGATGTCCTCACGAAACAGGTCTTAGAGTTTTATGATTGCGGTACGGACAGCGTTGGGGAATTCTTTCAGCACTCCCGGCATTGTGTTTTCCGGTTCGTACAATATTTTCACACCACGCATTTTTATTTGATTTAAAACGTGTATCTCAAGTCATTTGGTTTTTAATAAAGAGCATTGTTAAGATCATTTTTTTTTTTATCATGGCCAAAATGGCTGGAGCAGGCTGGGGGACACCCCCCCCCCCCCCCACACACACACACACACAAACGGAAATAGCAGTGCCCAACCTTCAATGCTATCATTCAATAATCATCAAACTTCATAGGTCTACATTAAATCCGCGACCCTTGGTCTAAAATCATGTTTGACAAAAGGAAAATTTTGAACTCGACTAACTTCCTTTGTTAAATCAGATTTCGAACAAAAAGCTAACCTAGTGTCGGATTTAAATCTTAGTAGAATTTTGGCCTTGACGTTAAAATATTTTCAAATTATAGTTTTACGATGACTATCATCCCTTATCTTTCGGTAGCCTGAATCAGAAAAACGAAGTCGACCAAGTTCTATTCAGCGACCACGGACGGAGCGCTATGCTGCGCATGCCAGTCGATGACGTCATCATGACGTACAAAGCCTTGTCAGCATTCGCCTCTCGCCTGTACGACCCCCGATACGTCTTTGAGTACAAGATGAAAGATGGTAAGAAACTTCTTCTTGAGCAGTAGTTTTTATTCTCCTGATTGATTAACATATAATTCTAAAAACACGATCGCAAAAACTTTCGAGAAACATCAAGGTATGCAGCCCCGCACATCAACAGGAATCAACTTATATTTGGATGGCGCCCTACGGAGCACTATATAAACGTAGAATATTATTATTATTGTTATTATTGAAACGTAAGTGCAACCCTAGCCCTTTTGATTGAATTATTAATATTATTTTCATTATTGTCATTATTATTGTTATTATTATCATTTTTGTTTTTAATTTTATCGTTATTATTATTATCATCATTATCATCATCATCATCATCATCATCACCACCACCACCACCATCATCATCATCATCACCATCATCGTCATCATCATCATCATCATCATCATCATAAACGTCATCATCATCATCACCATCATCATCATCATCATCATCATCATCATTATCATTAAATGAAGTCGCCGTCACGTGAGTTCAGGTAGTAAATGATCGAATCATATTAAATCAAATGAAAAATTTGTTATCCTAGGAGACATGTTGATCATGGATAACTATCGTGTCCTTCACGGTCGGAAAAACTTCACTATGAAACCAGGTACATCCAGGCATCTTGAAGGAAGCTACTTCGATTGGGATACGGTCATGTCTAAACTCAGAATACTCAAGAAGAATCTAGAAGGAATGTAGTCGCACATTCTACATAATACTCCCCAGGGAGTGGAGATTGTGCACACACTGTGTGCGGGCAAGCACTGAATCCAAACGCTCCTTCTCTCCCCGTTCCTTTTCTTCTCTGCAAGTCACTCTTTTTTATATTTATTTTTATTGTTGTATCTGAGTTGAGGGCTGCGGGCACGTCAAGCTACTTTGCCTATTTCTGTAGCCCTTCTGCATCTAATGTATCTTAATATTATGCATTCAATATATTCGTTTAATTTCGTTTATTATCTGTAAAAAATTATATACACTTAAAATAGTGTATCAAACCATATTATGTTCATGAAAATGTATGATGAAGAAGAAAAAAAAATGCAGAAACCAATAAATCAAATCAAATCAAACCAATGACCGGTGTAATAGTTTTATCTGTAAAGCGCTTAGAGACGTCCGATATGATTGTATTAAGCGCTATATAAAAGCTGAATATTATTAGTATTATTAATTATCGGAGAGATGGTGAGACGTGGTTTCTCACTGTTCGGTACACAGACGGCTCCGACTGGGAAATGATATTCACTTTGTTAAAGACATGGCCGCGATGATAAGCTTCAGGGCTCCGGAGGGGGTGGGGTGGGCGCATCATGTCTGGTGCTCCATGAAAACGATGTGGTTGAGAAGAACACGCGTCCAAATGTCTTTAGAAGGTTATAATCTCACTGTATAATTTGATGCTCTTGATTCAATTTTGTTTTATTTTGGTCCTTAAAATTAGAATTTGGGCAACTGAGACATAATCAGCTATGCTAGCCTCACACCAACCATTATGTATCATTGTATTTTTTTACTTCAAAGTGGAGATTTACTACGCTGCTATTTAGTCAGACAATAGTTTAGATCAATCCTCTTGCATGTCATGAGTAGCTGATAATTTTGGCCCTTTAATTTTGCATCATTTTACTTATTTTCTGTTATTTGTTACTATACTGTATATTGCCGACGGGGGGGGGTAGTAGTATCTTGGTTTGTACATGTTTTTTGTATACTTATGTTCTTGTTTGTTTTTTAGTTTTTTAATATTTGAATGTTATGATATGTGTTATCTTATAATTGTACATGATTTTTTTTTTAATATTGCGCACGAACCTACAGAAAAACAGCCTTTGGCTGAAGTTGGTGCCGTGCAAAAATGAAAAAAGCTGAACCGAACTGAACTGAACTGAATTATATATTGATGTTCATAATGTTTATATTGTTCAAGTAGTTTTTATCTTCATATTGCTCTGTTGCATGCCATTTGTTTACAGAGCCCCTTGAAACAGTACTTTGATTACTGATGGGGCTACCCTGTTTAAATAAAACGAAATAAATAAATAAATGCTAGAAATTGTGCGAAACCTGCTCATTTTAATGAGCTTTAATTTCATTACGATAAAGTATAGTTGCTATTTTCTTTCATATCCTTCTAGTCTCGCGTATCAAAGCTGTGTTCATTTTCCATCCAACACCGGTCAATGCATTTGTGTTAGGAGATCCTGAAAATAACAGGAAAATAAACAGAACGTCAAATAGTGCCAATAGATCATTTTTCATTTAATTCATTTTTGGTCATGGGGTTTGTGGTGTCTTATGTAATGGTGCTTGCGCAGCAGGCGCGTACGCAGGGGTGGGGTGTGGGTTAACCCCCCCTCTTTTTTTGTGTTTGTGTTTTGGAGACCCCCCCCCTTCAATTTTTTTTAAAATAAAAAACAAACAATACAAAATGTGGTAATGGATGATTAAAAAAAGCTGACCTTACCCCCCCCCCCCCCCCCCCAACGAAACAAAATATCAATCGGCCAAATTTTCAAATTTTGGGACACAAAAACAAAACAAAATGTGCTCTTACCCGGCTCTTACCTGGCTGAGTCGTTGCGAAATGTTTGGGACCAAAAAATAAAATTAAAAAAATGTCCCCTCCCCCCCCACCCCCCCCCCCCCCAAAAAAAAATGAGGAATGGGTAGAAAGTTTTTCACTCCCATTTATATAAAGTTAAAAAGGAAACTCATTAAACATAATAATGATGGCTGTATAAACAGAAGTAACGTATAAGACATACTTTGTACTTGACTAAATATAAACATCATTGGGAAAGTCAAAGCTCTTGTGACCCATTCGTTACCGACAATGTCTACCATTTTAATATAATTAATTACGTTATAACGTTGATAGTCCTCATACAAGTCATAGGGCTTGGACAATACAAAATATCAAGTAAAACGATAGTTTTTTTTTTAAGTCAAGTTATTGTTATGCTCACAACGCTTTAATAATTGGTAACATTATTGGAGACCAACCAAATTCAGCGACCTTACCCTATAGTTGAGTCACATGTATAAATAAACTGACACACACACACACACACGCACACACACACACACGTATTATCTTTATAGATCATGTACAAATAACACTACGAGTACTTTATGATAAGAATGACTTCCATATCAACTATAATGCCTGATTAAGCAAAGCATACTTGGCAGAGTTTGATGATCTATTTGCTAAATAAAATGAAGTCACCCCGCTCAAACCGACCGATTCGTGGCCATAGACGTAATGTAATATTATCATTCGGTCTGTTGTATAAGGGTATAACTATATTGACGGAGTTAATGATTTGGGGGAAAATTGTTTAAATGTTTAACACGAAGATAATTACGTGTTTCAAAAAAATAAAAAGGGGGAATTTATGCCTGACTCGGCAAATACTTGTTTGCAGTTGGGGCCAAGATAACAAAAAAGTATTCCAATAGTAATTAACAAAACGGGCAAAATAATACCCGTGCTTGGCAGACAATTATTGCATAAATTGGTTTGGCACATTCATTACCATAAACATTCGACAAACTTTGCCCAAAATTTTGGAGGTTAGACTTAACAAATGTGGTCCTCTAATGTTGATCGAGGAAACCAAATGTTTACAATTACGACTTTGATCATCAAATATTTACCAGTGGATGGCTGCATGTGTGGAACGTAAGCAAATGCACTATTGATACAAGATGTCAACACGTAAAAACAAAATCACCTACAAACCAGAGATAAAGGTTTGTCACAATGCCAGATCCTATATTTTGCTTACTTGGCATTTTCTGATAGCCTAAGTTGATCAAAGTACGCCGATGCTTCGTACCTAGCTGCACAAATGAGTTGGTAAATACATGTAAATTAACATGGTGTAGCTAAGGGGGTCCCGGGCAATGGCGGATCCAGGGGGGCCAAATTTTCGGGAGCAAAAAAAAAGGGGAAAAATGCTCCTTACCACCCCCCCCCCCCCCCCCTCGCTTATTCACCGGCTGGCTGATTCGTCGCTAAATATTTTCTCACGAATTGGGCCCCCTCCCCTTACGCCGACTGGATCCGCCCCTGGTCCCGGGACACACATCCCCTTGCCTACTCGAAGTATAGAATAATAAGACAGATGGGAAGAGAGAGAAAGGAGGGAAGAGGTATGCGACGTATAAAGAAATGACACGTCTCCCTTGCTACGTCACTTTAGTCGTGCATGAAAGTTCGGCGATGTAAACAAACTTTAAAAGGTGATATAGAATTTATAGATATCTATTTGACAAAGTTTCATCTCTAATTTCTTTATTATTTCCACTGATTATGATTTTATTCATTTTAATGAACTGGATATAAATTATATAAGGTAAATTAATTAAGACATGTGAAGTTATACACAACTCCTCGAATGTGATTGTAGATTAACATAATGGGATTGCAAATTTAATACGTTTTCAAGTTAATTAATATGACTATAAAGAAAACTGAAACAAGTAATATATTAAGTACCATTGCTTACTAAATTTCAATGAATTATCCTTATTTGGGCAAACTAAGGAAGCTGGATACTTAATCCAAGAACCCCCGCAGCCGACCGGCCGGCCCCTCCCTTAATAATATATGCCGAAATAGCCAATCACAGATTAAATCATCCACGACACCAGGAATTACAGTAAACAACTGAATGTTCTGTTGGGAATGAAAAATAAAACTGATTCATTTGATGTTGTTGTTGTTGTTTCGTTTGTTTGTTGATGTTGTTTTGTTGTTGTTGTTGTTGTTGTTGTTGTTGTTGTTTTTTGTTTTTGTTTTTGTTTTTGTTTGGGGGGGGGGGGGGGGTCCCGGGGTGGTTGGTGTATGTTTTTCGTAACTGAAAGGAAAAGAATGAATGGTGGACTGGTTGAATTTGAGGACCTTAATTGTTGAATACTTTTAGATGTAAGCTTTAATATATTACATTCTCAATAAGAATACAAATCGGGACATCCCAATATTTCACATACTTTAAAACAAAATTACGAAACTTTGTAAGGGAAAGGATAATTAAGCCTACATAATTATTAGGCAAAATACGGACCTAAGACTTCTAACTAACTTCCTCAGTATTAGCATATTACACCAGATTTCGAACGTAGCCCATCGCCTTATATTTTACTACAGACAGGCCATTTAAATTTTTCCGTAATCTACAACATGGCAAGGGAAAAGCATATTCAGCTGTATAATATATATTTTAACAAATTTAGTAATCGTCCCCGCATAGAGAGGGCGCTGTCACCAATTGAAGCTGAACCCACATTGGTTGATGTTTTATATTGTCCCAATTTTGTCTAAACCTATTGGCTATTCAACTAAAAACCTTCGTATAATATGCTGATTACGTCTTTATAAATTCGTCGCTGTTTTCACGAAGTGACGGTAGTGAAAAAAAATTGCATTCACTTTGCGTTACGATTTTCCTCACTACCGTCACTTCGTGAAAACAAAGACGAATTGTGTCAATAATCATCATCAATTTTTTTTTCTATGTCAATTTTATTAAGCTACCCTGAAAGATAAGGCACCAAGCACTTTTGTTATAAAGGCGTACATTGTATTGATCAGCCTATTACCTATACAGATCAAGTTTCTTACAGATGTTTGTGGGTCCATACAAATCAGAATTCTCAGATTTATTCTGAAAACGCATAAAGTATTGCAAATTAAAACAATTTACAATTTAAGCTTCCTTATTGTCAGACCATGATTGGAATATTGGTCATCAGTGTTGATTCCCTGCCAGTGGCGGATCCAGGGAAAGGGACCCTCCCCTGGGGAAAAAACAGGTAAACACACGTTAATTTTACCTTTATTTGGTGACGGGCCCCCTCCACTGGGCCTCAATGGGGGGGGGGGTGCAAATTATCAAAATTACCCCCCCCCCCCCCGCGCTTATACATCGGCTGGCTGTTTCGCCGCTAAATATTTTCTCACGAATTGGGCCCCCTCTATGGATCCGCCCCTGTCCCCTGCCATACCAATTACCTCATAACCCGAGTTGAGGCCCCGGCCCCCCCACTCAGAGGTCGGAATGACCGCATGCGTGTTGCCAAAATGTCCGGTAAAGGGGTATTTTTCGTGCGACAAAGTCCGGCCCGAGAAATGTAAAAAAAAAGGGGTGTATTTGAATTTTCACCCGGAGATTTCTTTAAAAAGGGGTGTTTTTTTTTCTTTTCTTTCTCATCTCTTTGGACTCCTGAGAAATTAATTCCGAATTTAGGGGGGTACATTGAGCATTTTTCCTGATTTAGGGGGGTCTCCAAGGCAGGAAAGCCCGCGAAATGCCCGTGAAAGGGGGGTTCGGAAATATTGGCAGTCCTCAGATAGGGGGTGCTTTCAAAAAGAGGGAACGAGCATATGCATACCCTAAATAACATTGAGTGGGGGGGGGGGGCGGTTGTGGCAGTGCAAATAAGGGCTGACAGATTTGTCAAGAATGGCTACAGCAGGCAAAGTAGTGTTACTTCCAGTTTGAAATATCACACCTGCTGCAAGGAGAGCTATAGTGATTGTTAGAATAGGTGTAGTAGACTATAGCTATCAGGCGCGGATCCAGGATTTCTTACGGGAGGGGGCCCAACATTTTTTTTTTGTTCCCGAAAATTTGAAAATTTGCACCTCCCCCCCCCCCCCCCCCCCTTGCGCGTCGGGGGGGGGGGCCAACCCCAAAAAGGGTAAAAATCACGTGATTTTACATGTTTCTCAAGGGGCGGGCCCCCCGCCCCCCCCCCCCCCCTGGATCCGCCACTGATAGCTATATTTTTCAGAGCTCATGAAGGGTACTTATCCGTCGAAATACGAGACCTGTTTCATCCTGTAACTTGTTTAACCCGAATATCACACGATAAGTCCTAGACTGAAATTGGTTCCTTCACATATTTCTTTCCATCTGTAAACTCTAGGCCCGAATTCACAAAGCAAGGTTTGAGCTCAGACCAAGGTTTGAGGTCAAACCTCCTTTTGTTTCGCCAAACCTTCTTTTGTTATTTACAAACCTGGTTTGTAAATAACAAAATAACTTTGGTCTCGAAATTTGAAAATTTGACATTTTGTTCCGTTGGGGGTGGGGGTGAGGTCACCTTTTTTAGGTCAGCCATTGGCATATTTTTTTTTTTTAAATAAAAAAAAAATAATTAAAAAAAAAAATCACAGAAAAGGGGGGGGAGGGTTGCTCCAAAATACACACATAAAAACCCGAAGGGGGAGGGTCAACCCCCTAACCCCCTCCCCCCCCCTTCCGTACGTGCCTACTCGTCTGAAAATAGTTTTTCCCCCTCCCGCGCGAAGCGCGGAAGCTTTTACGTTTCATTAAATCATTAGAAAAAGAAGACGATTCGTTGTACAGTTTTTTACTCTTAATCCTCGTCTTAATTCATCCCCCTCTCCCGCGCAAAGCTCGGAAGCTTTTACGTTTCATTAAATCATTAGAGAAAGAAGACGATTCGTTGTACCGTCCTCGACTCTTAATCCTCATCTGAATTCAGTTTCCCCCCTCCCTCCCGGGCGAAGCGCGGAAGCTTGTACGTTTCATTAAATCATGAGAGAAAGAAGACGATTCGTTGTACCGTTCTCGTAAATAATCCTCGTCTGAATACAGCTTTTACGTTTCATTAAATCATTAGCGAAATAAGACGATTCGTTGTACCGTTATGACTTTTAATCCTTGTCTAAGTTCAGTTCCCCCCCCCCTCCCACGCGAAGCGCGGAAGCTTTTACGTTTCATCAAATCATTAAAGAAAGAAGACGATTCGTTGTACCGTTCTCGACTCTTAATCCTTGTCTAAATTCAGTTTTCCCCCCGCTTCGACGTTTCATTAAATTTTTAGAGAATGAAGACGATTCATTGTACCGTCCTCGACTCTTAATCCTCATCTTAATTCAGTTTTCCCCTCCTCCCTCCCGTGCGAAGCGCGGAAGCTTGTACGTTTCATTAAATCATTAGAGAAAGAAGACGATTCGTTGTACCGTTCTCGTAAATAATCCTCGTCTGAATACAGCTTTTACGTTTCATTAAATCATTAGCGAAATAAGACGATTCGTTGTACCGTTATGACTTTTAATCCTTGTCTAAATTCAGTTTCCCCCCTCCCACGCGAAGCGCGGAAGCTTTTACTTTTCATTAAATCATTAGAGAAAGAGGAAGATTCGTCGTACCGTTCTCGACTCTTAATCCTTGTCTAAATCAATTCCCCCACCCCCTTCCGCGCGAACCGCGGAAGCTTCGACGTTTCATTAAATTATTATAGAAAGAAGACGATTCGTTGTACCGTTCCCGAAAATTATCCTCGTCTGAATTAAGTTCCCCCTGCCCTCCCCCGCGCGTAGCGCGGAAGCTTTGACGCTTCATTAATTCATTAGAGAAAGAAGACGATTCGTTGTACCGTTCTCGACTTTTAATCCTTGTCTGAATTTCAAATATGTTCTTTGTCTATTCCCTTTTCTTCCTACGTCCTCTTCCTTTACACTCCTCTCTTTTCTGGCCGGCGTTTATTGGGGGACCATCCCACCGCCCCCTGGCTACGCGCCTGTTGTCAGATGAACATAATGTTGATACCTTGTCCGCCCCGGAAGCTCAGGGGTTTAAGGTTTTAATTTACGGTCAGATTAGCATTCAGGGGTCCGCCTTAGCGCCCTAGACGGGGTCCAGGGGGCAGAGCCCCGGAAGTTCAGGAGTTTAGGCATTTAATTACGGTCAGATGAGCATTATTTTGATACCTAATTGTTACAATGGCAGGTCACTAATTGGCTTGGGGTTCAGTGGGCGGAGCCCCGGAATCTCAAGGGTTTTAGGCACTCAATTACGGTCTGATGAGTATCGGGGACCCGCCTAAGGGCTCTTGGTTGGGTCCAGGGGGCAGAGCCCCCAGAAGCTCAGGGGTTTTAGGCGTTTAATTACGGTCAGATGAGCATTTTTGATACCTTATTATTTGTGACACTAGCAGGACACTATTTGGCGTGGGGTCCAGGGGGCAGAGCCCCCAGAAATCAGGGGTTTTAGGCATTTAATGACCGTCATATAAGCATTTAAGGGCCCGCCTTAGGGCCCTAGGTGGAATCCAGGGGGCAGAGCCCTTAGGATTTTAGGCATTAATTTTAATCATGGTCAGATGAGCATATTTTGATACCCCATCATAATGTGACACTGGCAGTTAACTATTTTTTTCTTTCTCGCTCTCTTTCTTTCTATTTCTCTTTAATATGCTTTTTCAAAGAAAGTGTGGGGGGAGGGGCTCGAGGATCCCGATCCCCGCCGTTCCGCGGGCCCTGATATGTAGGCATCTCAAGAAGCATTTTCTTGCCTGGCTGTAAATTTAGGAATTTGTCATTTTCCAACAAACGCATGAAGTGAGGAAAATTATCTCATTTCAGCATTATTTGTTAACCACCGTTATGGAATTATAAATAAACCACGTTTGAACTCTATTTCTCCAACCCCCCCCCTCCCCTATCAGTATGCCAGTGCCCCCCCCCCCCCCCCCCCCTCCGATCTACACCTTGTTGGCGGGAAAATTGCAACTGATATCCCTTACTTTTCTTCATTCTCTTTTTTTTCCTTTCCCTTTCTCTCCTCTTTCACTTTCCTTTCCCTTTCTCTCCTTTTTCACTTTCCCTTCCCTTACTTATCTCTCTTTTAGGTTTGCTGGGGGGGGGGGGGGGGAGGGGCACGGTCATTTTGGTCCAACCCGCTCCACACATTGTTGGCGGCCGGGATTAACCGCAACTGATCTCCGCTTCTTTTCTCCCTTTTCTTTTTCCTTCCTCTTTTTGTTCCCTTTTAGCTCTCCTCTTTTCCTTTTCCTTCCTTCTCTCTTTTTTTAGCGGGGACGGGGGGGGGGGGGAGGCTAGGGTCTTTTGCCCCCCCCCCCCTCGATCGATCCACAACTTGTTGGCGGGAAAATTGCAGCTGATATCCCCCTTCTTTTCTTTTCTTTTCTTCTTCCTATTTTGTCCTTCTCTTTATCTCCTCTTTATCTTTTTTCTTTCCCATCCTTCTCTTTTATTTTTTTATTGGGGGGGGGGGGGAGGGGGAGGGAAGTCCTTCCCCCCCCCCCCCCCCCCCCCCCCCGATATCCTTCTTCCCTCTTTTCTTTTTTTCCCTTTCTCTCCTCTTTCCCTTCTTTTCCTTCTCTCTCTCTCTCCTTTTTTTTTTTTTTTTTTTTTTTTTTGCGGGGGGGGGGGGGCCAAGGCACGCTCGCCCCCCCCCCCCCCCCCTGGATCCGCGCCTGGTGTTGAGCTGTATTATTTTCAGATTCAGAAAAAAAATTGTTCAATTTCAAGCCAGCTAGCTAGGGATCTCCACGTACACGTGTGTGCATTTCCCATTGAACTTGTTATCTCAAAGATACCGTATCAGCATTGCACAAGGCCGAACAATCAGACCAGTAACGCATTTCATATAAAACACCTCTTGAATCGTTATTTTGAAAGAAAATTCTGTAATTATTTGTTCTTGTGATCATGAATGATGAAGCTGAAACATACAGGCTTTGGAGAGTTCGTAGAACTATCATGCAGGTGAGTAAATCGGCATCAAATACTTGAGAACTGTGCCTTCAGCCCCATGTGTCCCATTTGGTGTGGCCTGGCCTGTCAAACATTTTGTTTAAAGTTCAGAGTTTATCACCCGAACCATTTAGGACTACCGGGTATTATTGAAAAACTTAATTTGAGTTAGCATCGTTTTTTTTACTATGAAAATGTAAAATTAGTAACATTAGTTTCCTTACCGTAAAATACAAAGAATGTTTTCAGAACAATGCCATCATCGTTAGGCACATTCATGGGGCACTAGAGGGCGCTTTGCGCGCGTACGAAAATCTGAATGGCCTTGCTGCGGTGGGTCGACAATAATCAGCCCAAAACTTGGATATGGGAGGGTGGAAGGATATATCTTTTTTATAATGTTATCTGGTCTTACCCTTAACCATCCTAGAATCTATGTTTAATCTATGTTAGGCAAATTCATGCAAAAAAATGTATTCAAAAAATTGACTTGAAAAAACATCAGAAAATAAGTCTGAACCGAGTCAGGAGCAGATTTGAAGAAATTATATTTTTAAATGTTGTAAAACCAAAGATATAAGAAGAAAACTGACCAAGTATCTGTACTAAAAATCGTACATGTAAAATTGGTCGTACACATTCGACAGCTCTAAATGACGCACACTTTGTCGATTTAATTTATTATATAGTCTCAATTAGAATTCAGAATTATCTCACTGAAAAGTTAAGAAACCGACGATGTTCTCGATCGTAGTTATTTTCATTTTGCCAGCAGCCGATCTAGCGTTGTTTGGGCAAAAAGCTAGGCCGCTGCCTTCCCTTCGCAAACCTTTCCGAGTCCCGCTAAAATGGCGCGCTGCGGAGCTCCGAAGCTGGCAGCTGCGTTGGTATCGCTGCAAACTCTCAGCCGGCTAGCTCCCCAAGACGGACCATTCACGGTATGGCGAGATTGTGTGTGTGAGGTACGATTTTGGATTCGAGAACGCACGTAATGCAACCGTGCGCGTCATATTCAGCTGTCGAATGTCTACGACCAATTTTACATGTACGATTTTTAGTACAGATACTTGGGCAGTTTTCTTCTTATATCTTTGGTTTTACAACATTTAAAAATATAATTTCTTCAAATTTGCTCCTGACTCGGTTCAGACTGATTGTGTGATGTGTTTTCAAGTCAATTTTTTGAATATATTTTTTTGCATGAATTTGCCTATCATCGTGGACATGCCAATTGCAATTTTTTTTGCATTTGCCATGTTTTTAAAAATAATAATAATATAATTGGCAAGGTCAAAGTTTGTAAATCCTAAAGGTAAAGCAAGAAAGAGAAATGCCATAAAATATGCTACAATAAACAAAAATATGTTTTCTAATATTTTGACAAAGTATTAGGCTAATCTCACACATAGGAGCATCACTATCCTGGCCGTGTATTAAAAGCCGTGTTTTTGATTCTCAACATTTCAAACACCACTGTACAAAACTCAACTGATTTCACTCAAAATCGGTACTTTAGTGACAATTGATGACATCTAAATAGCAGTAAAATACATTTTGTTCAACTTACTGATGTTAAGAAGAATAATTAAAAAATTAAAATTGTAAGTCTAGTGTCAACCTTTGCTTACAGCTGCATCGACATGATTGTGTACAGTCTATGCGATATTGTGTGGTGTATGTATAGACTTCTAGGTCCCTGCCTCACAGCATGTATGCAGTGCTAGAGGTCAATAGGCATTAGCATTGACTCTCTATGCTTTGCTGGAGTGGCTAATCTGACTTTCGTTTAAGTGAAATACTACCAATCAGCAAGTTCGCTGTGGTCATACATACCTGCTAACCACCCCGATTTAGGCGGAGTTCCTCCGCATTTTTCATACCAACTCCGAATTCCGAGTTCATGCCTCAAAACTCCGATTTTTTTAAATTTTAAAATATTTTTAAAACAAACGACTGTTGCATAAGACTAAAGCATAACACAGCACTGATAACCAGATCACGTCGACATCCGCGCTCGCGCTCATAGAAGATATACACAGCGCAGCCCGAACGTGATCGTTAGTTCCGCAGTCATTATCCATGTACTGCATGTACTAGTACATGGAAGCACGTGCGCAAGCTATATCGATAAAGTGTGTGCGGACGTTGTACTAATACATACACTACATGCAGCGTTGATGCATAGTAACTGCATGCGTATAGCCCACGTGTATTTATATGACATGTGCAGTTGATACACCGTGCATAAACACTGTATACATTGGCGTGTTTTCTTCAATGCTTGTGCGATGACTGCGATCGTGGAAGCTTGTTATTTACCGGACTTCCTCAGATTTATTTTGGATTACTACTACTATATTCTTCTTCTTCGTTGATTTCTCCATTTTTGAAGGACAAAATGGATAAGACTCGTGCTGTTCATAATCAGAAGTATAAGAAAGAATACGGGAAACAATTTCCAGTTGCAGAATCAGCACTCGGACTTCAACACGCATTTTGCATTGTGTGTGCATGGGGTGAAAAGGTTGAAGGAAAAGGCCCATTTGCACCATTAAAATGGAGAGAAAAAAAATAGACCCTAAAGTCCTGTGTACCCCCCCCCCCCCCCCCCAATCTACGGGCTACTACCCCAATCCTTCGGTGGTTCGCGACCTCATAGTCCATCCAGAAAAATTTACTCCTAATTTCTCTTGTCTCAGGTTGGCAGGTATGGTCATAAATTTAATAACTGAATTAGGAAGAAGACTAACTAGATTAGAACTTGATAGAAAAAGCTCTGTTAGTATTTTTATATTAAATGTTTGATTTCAAACAGAATTGAAGCCAAGGAATGAACAGTTTGACATTGTTATTGCCATTTTGAAATCTAATTCATAAATATAATAGTTGCTCTGTTTGTGTTAATATTCTGCAGTGTTACTGTCAAGTGAAGGTCTGCCGATCTTTTCAGATTTAGGAAATTAGTCTTTCCTCCTGTCAAAAATGGCATAGACTTATAGCACAAGCAGCAGGCTAATGCAAACTGTTATAACCACACATAGGTGCATTACTATCCTGGCTGTGTATTAAAAGCTGTGCTATTGATTCTCAACATTTCAAACACCACTGTACAAAACTCAACTTAAAGGGATCCAGTAACTTTGTCGTAGATCCTTTAGAAATAATCCTTGATTTAGCTCATGCTGCAATGATAATTATAAACCTTTAGGTCAGTCAGGAACTCCATGACTTTTACAAGCCGATCGCCTGTCTGATTATCAAGATATTAATGATTGGAATTACAAATTTTGAAAACCGTTCGCTGAACGGTTTTCATAACACTACAGTCTATTGGGGAAAACGAGTATAGTAAAACTGGTCACTCAAAGATTTTTTACTTTTTTGAGGCACTTCTTGATCATTTTGAAGCGCGATTTTTTTAGGGCTTCAATATTACACCATATCACAGACACTGTTAACATGTAGGACCGTGCATCTCAGATTGAACATTGTTAAACGATCCCTTTAAGTGACAATTGATGACACCTAAATAGCAGTAAAATACAATTTGTTTAACCTACCGATGTTAGAAAGAATGATTTAAAAATTTAAATTGTAAGTCTACTGTCAAACTTGCCGATCAGCCGCATCGGCATGATTGTGTGCATTTGTGTATTTAGAGTGTATTGACTATTCATGTGTGCAAATGCTGCCTATTAACACGTAGTGCAGTGTTAGAGGTCAGTATGCATTGGCATTGACTCTCTATGCTTTGCTGGAGTGGTTATAACCACTGAAACTACTGCAGTAAAAAGAATGATCCAACGTCTGGGTTTTATCAAGCATAAGTTTCCCAGCCAACTGAATGTTAATAGAAGGTGTTTGAGAAAGAAAAAAAGGAGGGGGGGGGGGGGGGGGTTGTCAATGAGAGAGGGTTCATTCAATCGCCATTAATTATTCATGATATGAATTCAGGATGTACACAGTGTTTCAATAATTTTATTTTTCTTGTGCCTATGACAGCTTTGCCATGACAGAGGATACCTTGTAACACAAGAGGAATTGGACCAGACTCTGGAACAATTCAAGGAACAATTTGGAGATAAACCAAGGTAAATTTCATCAATCGGCGTATAACCATCTAAGGCCAGTTTCTTGAAACCATCATAAGTCTAAATGCATGGACATGCCATATAAATGTGTGTTAATTATGTAACATATGTTTAAGTGGGATGTCCAAGAAGTTAGCCCTGTGACAGTTTCAAGAATTTCCTTGAATGTCATGCATAAAACTTTGTGGACACCCCATTCAAATGTGGGTCAAGCAGTTTACTACATGTTTCAATATCCAGAAACTTGGACAATGATTGTCTTGAGAATCATTTTTTTTAAAGACAGAGTGTAATGTTAAGTCCTGTAATCTGTCCTGTATACTGTCAACAATGAAATATCATCATCCTTCCGATTTTTAAACTTCGGATCAATGGGCCTGGAACCAATTGGAAATGTGCCTGAACGAAAATAAAAGTTTTCTTGATCCATTTAAATTGATCTGTGTGTACATGTAGGTAAAGATAGGGTTTATTACAGTGCAATACAACTAGGCTTGTCCACACACAAAAAAAAAACACATATGTATAGGAACTTTAGAAAGTATGGAAAGATGAAAATAAAAAAATGTTTCTCACTAATGTGAAATAAGTGCACATACACCTGTACATGTAGATAAAAAGGAAATATAGTGTAGTGAGAATGGACTTGGCAGAAAAAGACATGACTTTCTTGGTAAATAACAATGGTGACTTGGGGCCTGTTTCATAAAACTAGTCAATAATAACAAGTTACAATTACTGTTATAACTTAAAAGCTACTGAAATGGTGTCATTTGATTGGCTGAGAGCATATTTGTTATAGAAATTTAGCATTTGTTATTGATAACAAGCTTGATGAAACGGGGGCCCAGTACCATGTCACCATTTTTAATCATTCAATGAGTCAGAAATCAAGCTAAGCAACTAAGCAGAAATCAATTGATGTTAAGCAGTCTGCTAGTACTACATTTTCATCATGGCCCAAATGCGATGCAAGCTAACTGTTCAATTTTTTTACCCGGTTGTGTTTGATCATGCAGTGAGAACAGGCCAAGCAGAAAGGACTTGACCGTGTTGGTCGCTCACAACGATGACCCGACCGATCAGATGTTTGTCTTCTTTCCAGAGGAGAAGAAAGTAGGCATGAAGACCATCAAAGCGTAAGTCCAAATTATACATTTTGTGAAATCTCAAGATGATAACAAAGGTTGTGTGACACTTGCTCCCGCTTCACACCTGAAACCAACACTATACCTAACCCTAACCCTAAATCTAACCTAAGTCCCTATTTTAATCCTAACGCTAAGCCTTTACCTTTCATAAAATAAGTCAGGAGCAGTTGTCTTGGGAGCAAATATCGGTTACCATTAATAACCACTTGAAATTTGTCAAGAAATGGCACTTCAACTTGTGAGAAATCCTAATGCTTTCATCAATAACTTGCTGTTGAAGGAATGAGTTTAAGGGTAATGATATCTTAGTTATTGATAAATCTATCATTAATTCTTGATTTTGTTTATATTTAAGTTATGATCATGTCTGACATTTTCAAAATTTTGTCAAAACAGACCCATAATTTGAGTAAGTGACAGTAAACACCTGCACAATTTCCATGTCACAGTACTCGTACATGAATCTAGGACTTCCACAGTTTTTCGTTAAGGCAGTATAAAAAATGTCAATACTTGATATGTCAACCTTTGGCCCTCAAAAATGGGAACTTAATATTAATATTCAGTGTTTTCTCTCCTCAATATTTAATTTCCTATGAATAATGATTATATCAGACATTTTTGGGTGCAAAAAAGTAACATAGAGCTTTGATACAAGATCAATGATTTGGAATACTGGTAAAGAGAATGAATGTTTTCTCTCCTCAATCTTCCTTTTCCTATTATGATTATATCAGTCATTTCATGATGCAAAAAAAAACATGATTTTTAATTTTTTAAGTAAAGAAAATATTACAACGAAACCAGAAATCAGAAGAGTTACAATGCTTTATATTACGATTGAATTACTGCTGGAATCTGTATATTTGGGGGGATTTTTTGTTGTTGTTGGAAGTGCTAGGACAAGACATTGAGACACTGCAAGAGTGTTCTAGAATGACAGAGGAGAACAGAGATGTGTGGAAAGATGTAGCAATCAACCTCCGATCTGGGAGACGATATCTTTGATAGAAAGGTAGATATATAGAGAGATAAATAAATAATATAGATAGGACAAGTTTACAAATACGTGTTCATATTTCTATTTCGTTGCAATGACAGGTACTGCCAGAGGATGCAAGAAGAGAACATTACCAGAGCTATTATCACAGTCCAGGAGAAGATGACACCATCAGCTAAAACAGTAAGAAGAACTTATTTTATATTTCCTTTCAGTCATGATAATAAAATAATTAAGCTGGGGATGTTTCGCAAAGATCCTAAGTCAAACTTGAAGACAAACTTGAGTTCTGGTAAAAAAAGAAAATGAATTCTCACAGAATCTAACGAAACTCACACTGAATGTTCAAGGTTACAAATAAATGTCATGTGCCAAACAATTTTGGAAGAAAATGTATACTGGCTGAGTAATGAGCATAGAAAGATGAGGAAATCAGGGTAGTACTAGCCCCGACACCATGTGTGTTGTCCCATATACATCTTTCTGTGTAAGTGATTGTTACTTTACCAAGACTCTGCCAAATTTATAATGATTTTGAAGACTCCAAAAGCTTGCATTACACACCGTTACTTACATGCTATATGATCAACTTTTCTGATCCATTCCACACCTTTTCTTTCACAATGCAATCACATTACCAGAACTCAAGTTTATCTTTAACTCAAAATTGGACTTAAAAATTATGGAGAGCCATTTGTAGCCTCAAAATAAAATATATTCAAAAGTGAAAATTCAAGAGTGAAAATTCAAGTATTTTAGACTTTTTATGAATTCCACATCAAGAACACTAATCTCCTCGATAAGTGAACATATGAATGATTTGAATCAACATTTTATGCCTTTTGAAATAACTTTTACAAAATATTTTCATAGATGCCAATAGCTTTCCATAAGTGTTAAGTCCAACGTAGAGATGAGTTCAAACTTAGGATCTTTGTGAAACACCCCCTGGGGTAATACTTGAGCTCCTTGCTTGTTGGATATGAATGCTGTTGAAATACATGTATGCAATATTAAATTCATTATTACTATTTTACTCTGAATGTTAATCTATTTCTTTTCAGAGTCTTGGTGACATGGCACCCAAGTACATCCTAGAGCAGTTCTTGGAAGCTGAACTTCTTATCAACATCACAGAACATGACGTGAGTACCTTCAAAAGCAAATATTTGATACAGTGGAATGTTGTAATAACAAACTTCTGGTGACCAAGGAAATTACCATGTTCTTATGAAACCTTGTTAATCATGGCTGAAAAGGCAGAAACTACATAGAAGTGGGACTGGTTTAAAAATGCCATGGTAAAATAAGAATTTGTTGTTACAGTGTTCATTATTGCAAAGCTCCAGTGATAAAGGACCTGAATGTCAATTGATATTTCTCCTTTTTTTTTTTTATCTTCCTTTATACGATTTATGAAATAAATACCATTGAAAAAACAAATCTCCAGTTGGACAAAAAATTCTTAATGTAACTTTCTGAGAGCATGAATGTTCGTCTATTTTGATTGGTCATATTGTTTCAAATCCCCCTAACTGAGATCAAATTATTTTCTAATATTTTCTATAATTCTCTCTCTCTCTTCCTCCCTCTCCTTTCCTCCCTCCCTCCCTCACTCTCTGTCTCTTTTTCTCCCTCTCTATCTCTCTCTCTCTCACTCCCTCCCTCTCTATCTCCCCCTCTCTCTCCCTTTTCCTCTCTCTCTCTCTCTCTCCTTTCTGTCTCTCTTATCTTACTGATATAGTTTGTTCCTGAGCATGTAGTGATGACAGGCGAAGAGAAGGCAGAGCTCCTCGCCAGATAGTATCCTTTTCATAACCTGTATTGGAAAGAAAGAAGTGTTTACCTTTCTTTCATATTTATAAACTTCTTGTTGTCTCCTTTTTATTTTTAGTATCCTCGACTGACATTGAATTATTTATGTATATCTACCTTAGGCTGATGATGATAACCTCACTCAGAAACTCGTTTTATTTTGCTGATTGCCAGGGATTAGCTTTTTAGTTTCTTTCCTTGTGTTAACGTATCTCATTCTCCTGAATTCTGTGTTAAGTACTGTTGTACTCTTTCCTTTTTTAAAGTCTTTTAAATGAAGTAAAAATTGAAAGATCAATCAATCATGAATATTAAAAGCAGAAAGAACAAATAGTCTTTAGTACAACAACTATATCACAGCGTTTACAGAGTAAATGATATATTCTATTGAATGAAACTTGAAATAAGTACAAATTTAAATAAAGAAATGAAAAGGGTTTAGGAACTATATGGAAAGAGATATGTTAACAAGAATTTTTTAATTTGGTCTGTGGAATTACCTTATTTGATGAACGATGGGATATTGTTCCATTTTTTGGATGCTGTTACAGTGAATGTGCCATCACCAGCTTTGCTACTAGTCTTTGAGCGAAGATTAGGATAAGAGTATATAAGTTAGTTCTGGGACCCTTTTCACAAAGCCTTTTTTCAATGACAAATGACAAAAATCAGGGACAAATCTGCTGATAACCAATCAGGAGCAAGAATTTTACTAGCTTATAACGAAAAGTGTCATTCGTCACTGATGACATGTTTTGTGAAAGGGGGGCCCTGCAGTCAAGTGTACCAATCACCAAACCCCTGTTTTTTTTCTTGATACAAGGGGTTACATGTTGGTATACCCTATTCAAACTATTCATTTCTAACGTTTCTTCTTCAAAGAGATATTGCAGTTTAAATACACTCCCAGTGAACTGTAAAAACATCTTGTTGAGTAACCCATGCTTACACACTGGCATAGAATAGGGTGGAATGGAACCCAAGTCCCACTTTGGTTCGGTGCGCACCCTATACACAGAGTTTTTGTGTTATCCTTTATTTTATTCAAACTCTTTAACCATTTACCTATAGAATACCATGTAAGTTTTGTGAGGTTAATTTGATACATTCTGTGTACCGGTACACAATTAATGGACTAACAAGTGCAAGTAGTGAATATACCATTGACAGAAGAAAAAAAAAATCAGTCTACTATGTCACAACAGGTATCATTTATCACAAGAACAAACCATGCATACATATTTCTTACGTGCAGCAAATGCTCCCCACGGGTAAACACACATTTTTTTTCTTCAGGGGATTGGAACAATAACACTGCAGTCTACTGGGGAAAATGATTATGGTAAATCCAGTCACTCAAAATTGTTTACTTTTTTGAAGCTCTGCATGATCAGTTTGAAGCGCAATTTTTGTAGGGCTTCAATATTACGCCATATCACAGACGCTGATAACACATCAGGCAATGCATCTTAGATTTGTACGACTAGGAAACATTTAAAGCTTATAGTCTCTTGGAATTTCCTTGACCAATCCTTCTCCTACCAGTAAACTCAAGGACCATCAACTACCAAGGATACAGGTCGGGGATCCTGTGGCAAGGTACTTTGGACTTAAGAGAGGACAGGTGAGCAATTGTGTTGTTTCCAAATAGGCCAGTTCACTGTTAGCACATGTCCCAAATGACCCGAATATCCACAGATCTTCAAAACATAAAGAGGTCCCACTTTGTACATTTTGAAATAAGCACTCCTACAGCGATGGAGGTGCTACATAAATAGTCTTTGTATCCCCTTTTCAAAGAATACTTCCGGCTGTGTATCACGGAGTGCTCTGCTTGTGCATAAATGAATAATGATTACATAACTTTCATGAGCACATATCCAGTATTTTGTCTACGTGTATTTCACAATTTGGCCTCCAATGACCTTTATCTGCTCATGCTCGGACTGCAACTACGAACTGGCTTATTGTCAAAACATACACAAATTCTGTAAATATTAATGTCTTTTTGTCATGAAAATGGTACAGACGTTGTGTATGTGAATTGTCATTATTTATAATTTTTTTATTACAGTTACATCACTTTCCCCAGGCATTGTCAGCAGTAAAAAATAGTTTGGGCATCTCAAAGAAGAAAAGGAAAATACGATATTAATGTCTTTCTTGTTTTTTTTCTCAATCTTCTAATTCATTGCTATTTAAATAACATCACCATGTCCTTGAATTGTTTTCACGAAGAGAATAAAAGAATAGAAAAACAGTGAATACATAGAATGAAGAGTTGTGTTGTCCTCTTCCTACTGAGCAAGGTTTCAACAATTTTCATGTTACAACATTTCATGTCATTCTCTCACCCAGGTTGTGAAGATTATTCGACCCAGTGAGACAGCAGGAAGATACATCTCCTACAGACTGGTGCAATGACACAAACTCATCTCAACCTTCCTTTTTAAAAATATAATCTGTAAATAGAGTCTGTACAGTATCATGTTACCAGTCCAAACTGAAGCTAGCAACCAAAACCATCAACATTAAAGGCCATGTTTGATGGTTCTGGGAAATAGAACTGCATCTTTGATTATTCACGCTTTAAATGGGTTGTTAAGCTCAGCTAAAATGTGAACAAAGTCATGTAGTACTGCTGAGAATGTTATATTCTGAAAATGCACCAACACACATTCCCTCATATGGGACTACATGTTTTATTAATGGTCTGATGAACCTGATTTTATCATCTGTCTTTGCACATTATGTTTCAGTTTCAGTAATTTTTTCATGATGGGGAAGCTGAATTATAGTTAAAGTTTTCAGGGTTATACCATGTAATTTTTTTCAAAAGAATAAGAGAGCTCTTTGGTTCTCAATGAATCGACCAGTATGCTCCAATTATCATAAGGAGAATGACTGTAATTCAACATGTGTATGGCACATGCCACTCATTGAAGTTTTGAATATATATATGTGATGTCAATATTGTTGGATTCCATTACAATAACAGTGAAACCATCTAATAAGGAATACATATATCAATCATTAAAAGGTATTTTTGCCTTCCTACTTTTTTGTACTATATTGTTTTTGAATCCTGTTATGACAAGATTTCAATACAGTGAATAACGTCATTTACTTGATCCAAATATATTTGTCATAACAAGAGTCCACATATTTGTCTTCATCATTAGCAGATCTCATTCACTACCTTGAGAAGTCGTGATGTGATCAGAATATGAAGTTCATTCCAAACAAAATGATGTTTAAAAGATCTCAGGAATCCTTATGAACTGCAGATTACAGAGCAACAACATATTGATGAAGGTTGAAATCGAGATTAGTGGTACAGTAATTGTTTCCGACATCATACAAAGTTTACCGTAACGGTAAACAAACCTTACCAGAAAACAGAGAGTGATATTTAGTACTTACTACATCATTGGTGTGCCTTGGAACTTCATGTACGATCAGGTCAAGTTAGAAGAATTATTTTGGCAGGGGTCTTTGGGGGGCTTGGTGGTTCTTGCATTCATTATCTACATGCCTCTTAAAGGTAAAGACTAGTTTTGGAATCCCCCCCCCCCCTCTCAAAAAATGAAATGACAGCTATTATTACCAAACATGTGAAAGAATATGTTTTGACTAATACGTGATGATACAAATTTTGCTGGGAAACCGCCTACTAATTGATATATTTGGTAAATTATTATATCTATCCCGACTGGATAGATATTGCGTAGTCCCATATACATCTTTCTGTGTACAGTGCTTGTAACTTTACCAAGACTGGGCCAAATTTCTTATCATTTTGATGATTCCAGAACCTTGCAGTACACACTAATACTTATATGCTAGATGATCAACCTTTTCTGATCGATTCCACAACGTTTCTTTGACAATGCAATCGCATGACCAGAACTGGTCTATACCTTTAAAATGTTGGGTGTTGAAGAAATTGTGGAGGGCTTTGAGCCCCCCTCTTCCTCTAGAACCACTACTGAGTAGAATTACACTCTTTATGTCAATCTCTGTTTTTGTTCTTGACTGTTAATAGGGCTTGTTAGGTTTTTGTTCAAAATGGGTTCGAGTGGAACAAGACCTAATATGAGACCATTTGAAGAGAAAGACCTTGTACGTTCAATAACTAAATTATTCATACCCTTTGTTGATTTGATGATTTTTGTTTTATTTTTTGAACTCAAGAATGAAAGGTACACTGGTTGAATTAGGGCCTTTGTTGAATACTTTTAGACGTAAGGTTTAATTTTGTCACATACTTTAAAAATTACAAAACTTGGTAACGGTATGCATAATTTAGTTGTTAACTGTATACTTTAAGTGCGCAACAGTTCTGATTAGTTTCAAAATCTGTTACTCTAACATTTTACTCATGAAAAGCAATCTCCAAAAGAGTGCATAAGGAAACATCATGTTCTTTTGTTTCTCTCACTGTGTCCAATTCGTGAATCGTCTGGTGCCAGAAAGGCATGAACTTATGTACAGTTAATGCCCTTCTAACTTGAAACATGTTATACAATTTTGTAAATAAATGTCATTAAAAAAAAGCTGATTGATTGTATTTCTGTTTGGAGGTGTGCCAATGACAATGATTTAATTGATAGTGATGGTGACAAAGATTGCTAAAGTGATTATAGTTGTTAACTGGTGATTATGTAAGTGTGTTATATGATGTGGCCCCAGGATCAGGTTAGGGGAGCTCATGCTAATAATGAGCTAGTATAGAATAAAAGCTGTTGTTAAAGGTACTATGTCCCATTTGCAGGCCAAAAAAATGAAAAAGTTAAATTCCAACTGCATTGAAAGATAATATTTATTTAGAACTTCCATAAAAAAGTTGGGGCTTGAAAATGTCCTCAAGTGGGAAAATAATGACTATTTGTTGTCAAATCGACTTTAGGGCTATAGAGCCCAAAAGTAATAGTCTTTATTTTCAGACAATTGTACCGAATGGTTGTACGTTTTATGCTGCGCAAAGATTCAATCAGTTTAATCTTGGCCATCACAAGAAGTGGGTTATCGATGTAGACATATGCTCATGTACCCTTTACAACTCTTTTTATTACCAAAGAAGAAAAAAGCCAGTCAGTCACTCAATAGTGTCTGACAGTGAAGTCTAGCAAGTAAACAGGTTTCCTTGCACAATTTGAATATGAGGACACTGCTAACGTTTAAATTTCACAGATAGGACATACATGACATATTCATAATTCCTGCAAAGTTCTACAGAATTTGAGGTTGGCTGCAAAAGGGACATAGTACCTTTAATATTGTACATTTCTAGTGTACATGTATATTGTGATTGTAGCTGTTGCAGATGTTAAATTTGATTTTAGTAGACGTTGATGTTGATGATAATGGCAAGTTAAGTTGTTATAATAATCATAGATAATGAAAATGGTATAGAGTGAAATTATTTTAGCTGTTTTTGATGGTAGGTTGTGAAAGTGGTTCTAACTGGTGATTGTGAAAATAAATGTTGCTTTTTTGCTTGGTTGTGGTACATATTTGAGTTGTTGATGATGGTATATTATCTTCATGTCTGTAGTTTCATTCTTTTAATTAAATTTAATGAATGTTAATTGTTATTGTATAATTGTTTTAAATGGGAGCACGCTACAAGAGTCCTATCTCGCACCCCGGGGCAACGTGTCTGACACGGCCGGTTGTAGCAACTACTCCGAAGATCAAGATACATTAATCTTGATCTAAGGAGACACGAACGAACGAACGATGTCTGTAGTTGTTTGTGATGATGGTAGATTTTGTTTACCACTGTAGCGTTGATTTTAACTGTAGCTTGTGAAAATAGCTAGAGTTTTGTGTAGACTGTGATAAAATTGTAGCTAAGTAGCTGATAGTATGGGTGAGGCTGTGAAGGGAGTGCCGGTGGTACAGTGTGGGTCACAATTCAATTTGACATTCAAATTCACAAGACCACTGATTAGGGAAAGGGTAGAAAGGTTTTTTTTCCAAGATCGGTTGAAATTGTTTAGACCCCTCGATCCCCAGGACGTCGATCGATTACATGTATGTGCCCCCCCCCCCCCCCCAAAAAAAACAACTCTGGCTACGGCCCTGGCTGGGGGGGGGGGGGGGGAGGGGTCGTGAAAATAGAAAATTTGCAGTGATTGCCCTTTTGTAGTGGTAGTGTAAGTAATGATTACCCCCCCCCCCCCCTTTTTTTTTCCTTCTCTCCCTCTCTCTCTCTCTCTGTCTCTCTCTCTCTTTCCTCTTTCCTCTTCCTTTTTTTTCTTCATTTATTTCTCTCTCTGCCATATCCCTTTGCATATTTTGCACATTTTATTCTAATATCTTCATATTGTTCACGAGTTCGATTTTGTCCCTTCACAAAACTATATAGATTCATGAAAACATACAATACATTTCTTTAAAAAAATGGAAATAGACGATGACCACTATGATTCGTGATCAAGTATGGCCTTATTTATATGGCCTGGAGGTTACGGCACACGCCTTGGGTTATTTTAAGAGCGGGTGTAATGTGGGAGTTTGTACTGAAGTCTTGTCACCATCTTCACAATTAGACTTACAATCTACATGCTTATGAAAATTTTACGAAGTTGAAAAGTAGTAGACAACGTTAATCTTCCACTCTTTCGCATTGTCGATACACCTATGAGAGTAGATCACAGTGCCTGAAAAGTTTTTTCTGGAGTGCCTATGATTCATGAAAAAATAAATCTTTGTTTAATTTTAGGACCTACAAGCTTTTTTTTGGCCTTATTTGCTAAATTAAGGCAAAGTCAGTACAATTCATAGTTTTTTATTCAGTCAAGTTAATAAAACAATTCTTTTCTATTCAATAAGCAAGGAATTAGAGGCAGCTAAGGGCGGCAAGGGGGCACGTGCCCCCCCCCCCCCCTCTTCCATCAAATAGTGAAAAAGTAATGGGAAAAGTGAGGAAAAGAAAGGGAGAGAATACATCTGATATAGAAAGAAGGTGATATATATACAACCCCTCCCATCTCTTCCCTCGCGTATACTGGGTTCTTGGGTTTCATCAGCATTTTGGTGCCCCCGCTACATATAATACCCTCTAAACGGCTGGACCCATGTTACATTAATTTAGTTCGAGAGAAAGTAAGTTCCTGATTCAACTTTCGGATAATTGAGCAAACAAAAGTAAGGAAGCGTGCATGGTATAACAGATAAAACGAGGCAAGGGAGCATACAAAAGAACAGGATTATAAAAGTAATTAATTCCTTTCCTTACTTCCTCAAACGCCAATTTAAAATTTTCCGCTTTCCCAATGAATTTCAGAGAAAAGGCAGTATTGTTCAGCGATTAAGTTGTGATTCCACAATGAGATGTTCATTTACCCATTCATATTGAGAGGTATATTCTTCAGCTGCTTTTCATCATGTTCATGCGAGAGAGGGGCATGCCCAATGAAATGTGCTTGAACAACAACATAACTTATGCTAATATTTGTCTATACACTCCCTGAAGAATGGTCACATCTTTCTGATTCAACTCCAAAGAAGTCAACATTTATATGTCTCCCATGATCAGAGTAAAAGCAATATTTTTATTAATGCAAGATGAACATTACACCCATAAGCTTAACATTTGAAAATGATGATCATTACATGCATTTACCAGCAATGATTAGGCCCAAAAGGCTGCAACCGTACGTTGCATTGCATGAGGAAAGAAATAAAATCACTATTATTCTGAATCCATATAACATAGTCTTGCTTCAGTAAAGAAAAAACGACTTTATGAAGAAGAAAAAATATCATAATCGAGACTGTTTGACCAGATCTGGCAATAAGAATCGTTCTTCGCTGCTCAAAACTTAAAAATCTATATTCACTTTTTTCCAAGGAGCTTCCTTGAAATAACAAAACGCTGATGTTTTTTGTCCCTTTCAATTTAGACCAAGAAGAAATGATTTTTAGTTTCCCATCCGGATATTTCGAATATTTTAGTATTGCTTGTTTGATTTATATTTTCTTCTATTCTCCTCTATCTCTCAATTTTATTGGTATTTGATGTAGATTATGATTATTATGTAGTTTGTATGTAGCATAATTTTCACGAAGTGACGGTAGTGAGGAAAATCGTAACGCAAAGTGAATGCAATTTTTTTTCACTACCGTCACTTCGTGAAAACAGCGACGAATTATGTCTGGGTTGTTGTGGCTATCCTACCACAAGCCCTGCGCTTTTTAAATAGGGATTTTCGCCTCCTTCATACATAACATTGTACATATCTATTTCATGATATCTTCATTTTGTTTTTGTGAAAGGTGAACAAAATATGTTTATTGAATTGAAAATTAAAAATGAATTGGTGAAAAAAGGTTTCATGTCATATGATATTATATATTTTTTCTGTCCATGCATAGAAATTAATAC